AAGTAGAAAAAGGTGTTTTGAAAATAAAGCAGAGTTTCAGAGAAGAGTCTTGGCAATAACTGATGTTTTTCAGTGCAAGCCATGTGATATGCCTCAGCAGCTCTCTAGCTGCTTCTGAGCTGAATACTGCTCTACTGTATATCCTGCTTCCTGGAGTCATCTTGGCTTATTTAAAGACATCCACCAGGCCTTTTACTTACATTTCAGCTGTAAGCATGGAGGAATACAAAACATTTTTAGACTGACCCCAAAATACTGTGTTGGCATATCTAAAAGCACCATTAATTTCATGTGAAAGCCACACCTTTAGCACCACAAATCCACCCACCAGCTATACATTCAATCCCAAACTGAAAGTTATGCATGTTCTTGCTAACCTAGTTTTGTATGTGTGTGTTTTTTTTTTTTTTTAACAATAGGCCTAAATCCATATTAATGATCCAAAAAGTGACCAGGCCTCAGCACCTTTTGTCCTCTATACATTAACTATCCAATAATCAACAGTAGCTGTCCTGTACTCTGGTGTCTTTGGCCTAATTCAGAGGGACAGATATTTATCATCACCCTTGAATTGGGTGACCCATTCTGACAGGTCGACATCCTTATTTATGTAACAATGTCATAGACAGTAACTGCTAATGAGTGGAGTGACACAGGGGTCTGTTAGATGGAAAGGCAGAGGAAAGCTGAAAAGGGCATGAGGGGTTAATGGGACTTTTCTGTTCCAGCCTCCTGGGATGTGTAATTATGTCCTAATAAGAAATGAATGTATTGATTAGATTAGTGTGCAATTGTGTTCGTGTGCGCACGTACAGTGCCGCATGCATATAGTCAGTAATTGTGTGTGCCTCTATTTTTTCTGTATGTGTTTTTAACGTAAACTATCTTTGTCCTTTGGCCAAAAACAGGCAGCACACTCCCACAGTCCTCTTCTTGTCCTCACTGGGGCAAGCTCCTTGTGAATCCATGTGGAGTTTATCTGAGTAAAGGCTGAATTCAACTTCAGTAAACTCCAAATAAGGCCTTCAGGATTAGGCCCTCACAAACAAATGACTTCCTATTTGCATTGTTTGGTACAAATACCCACCATCACTTAAAACAGCAGCCAATGCATTGTAAACAATAAATGAGCGTTGTCTGCTTAGGAGACCTTCCACCAGACAAAGTAGGCCATGCTCATCCCTAATGTAAGTCCTCCTCTATCAGCCTGCTTACAGTAGAGAGGAATTTGGCCCAGCATTCTTTCTCATCAAGTAAAATATGTTCTCTGACAGGTCAAGGAAAGCATCCTTCACACACTCACAAAGGCCCAATTCTCCGCTGCGTCTCCTAAGTGTGTGATCTGAACTTGAGGGCGAATTCCCTTGATGGGAAAGACAAAACAATAGAGAAGAGCAGGGAGAAAAAAAAAAAAAGAAAAAAAAAAAAGAAAAGGAAAGCATGTCTGAAAATCAGAGCTGCCCATGGCTCAGGAGGCAAAGGAATGCAGCTGATAGTGGTACTCCCGCCTATTGGTGCTGATAGGAAAAGGCAGAATTGTGGCTTTTCATACCTTGTAAATACTGCACAAACTCCAGCTAGGAACAGAGCCTTATATGTCCAGTAGGCCGGTATTTGATGCTTGATGCTTGGGTAAATAAGGAACAACAAGGGTTAGCCTGGCAGTAGGAATAGAGTTTTTGGGTCACAATCTTAGTTCCTTGTCCCTGGGATAACGAAGGCCACAGAAGCAGCGTGCACAAGCCTTTGATAAATGAGTACCTCCAGTAGCATGCTGAAGAAATAAATTACTTTCTAGTGACTCCCTCTGGAAAGAAGCAGCATTATTAGGCTCTAGTGGGATTTCCTTCTATCCCACTCTTGACTAGGACCTTTGTGAGGCAATGGGGGAAAAAAAAAAAAAGGAAATCTGAAGGATTTCTAAGTCTGAGAGGGCCCACTTTACCGAACTGCAATTTTTGTGAACTGTGGCTAGAATTCCAGACATAACACTCAGGAAAGGCTGTATTACAGAGAGGTAAAAAAGGACTTACTGAGCAAGGTTTCTGAACATTTCAGAAATGTTTGAACTATCTAATATAAGAGTACACTGTGAGGTCAGTGTCACAAGAGAAACATCCCTTGAAAACAGATTCTGACTAATCTAGATTTTTTTTCTAAAGAATGAAAGATGGCAGGTATGGCAAACATTGCACTTGCAACATGAAGATCACTTGAGCCCTACTACTGAGAGATACCATCACAGCTAAAAACAATTCTTGCCCATTGCACAATATTTCTACTTCAAATTTTCCCATTGGAGGAGCACTGTGGAGGCATTTTGGTAAGTGTTTTGTATAAAATATTTTAGGGAACATACTTATAAAAGCAATTGTAATGGTATTCCCCACAAAAAGACTTAAAATCAATGATGGGTATAACTCTGAATGTCCACCTTCTCAAAATTTGCCTCAGGAGTCAAAATACAGAGTAAAAACCTGGCCCTGGCAATGTCTGTAGGAGATTTATCATTGGCTTCAGTAAGGTTGAGACAGCATCTGAAGTGAAAACACTGGAGAAGGAACAGCCTAATAAAACCACGGTATTTTCTTCCACATTATGTACGAAGTTAAAGCAAGTTCAGTATCCAGAGTGAATGGCAGAAAGACGCTCCAAAGGAAGAGGCATTCCTAATGCCATAGTTCAAACGCAGGTCTGAAAAGCAGACGCAGGAAAGTTAATTTTTCAGTGACTGCTGGCCCTTTGACTCCTAATAGTTAAGGGTGGGTTCACATTTGGACACTCAAACAAAACTGATTTTGCCATTATATTGATGGGAACTTTGTAACGCAATGAATCATCATCAACCGGCTGATTTATTTCAGAGGGCAACTTGAAGCAGCCAACTTGGAGCAAGGTAGCCCAAACTAAGCAGAAATATCCTTCCCCGTCCCATTTATTAGTGTCAGCATCAGCATAAGCTTTTCTCCTTAATGGACCAATCTTTCATTCAGGCCATAGAGGATCCTGAGAAAGTTTTCCTCGTTTCTTTATATTTTGCCAAACTTCTAAGTGAGCTCCTAAAAACTTATTGAAAGAGCATTACTCAGTCTGACACATTCCATTTATTTCAATATGGTGACAAAGAGAGAAGATCTAGTTAAAAATATTGCAATAGCCTTATGGGATACTTATGGGTTTCTTAAATGTAATACATCACAATAGAATACTTTGTTTTTGTAGAAGGGCATTCTGTATTCGCCAAAAAAGCTGCTGACTTAATCATTAGTTATGATGAGAAGAGATTTAGTGCTCTCTTTCTTTACACTGTCAGTGAGAACAATGTCTATGAAAAAGCCTATGCTTCCCATTATAAATCACTATAAGCTCCATGAAAATTTCTCCTCTACCCTGGGGTTTAAGTGAGCAAATACTCAGTGATGCAGACTCCCAATAGTAGCACTTCATGCCTAGCTCTACAAGTTTATGAAATGCTATGCTTCAATATAAGTCTAGGCACTACCCCTGCATGGAATTTCCATTGTGTAGCAATTTATGTATGGCTAGTCTTTGATTAAAAAAAAAAAAAAAAAGTGAAATACCTACGAGTTTCCCTCTCTTTCTTTGCAACTATGTATATTTTTAAATACTTTCAAACTGGAACACAGTATCACTTTTACCATTAAAAATGTATATTAAAGCTTATCTACCCTTTAATTTTTCATCCCCTAACATTCAGAAGAAAACCTTTCAGATCTTATTTAGGGTAAACAAGGATTCAAAACTGAAGCTATTCAAAAAATAAATAGCTTGTAGATATTTCTCTTCATTGAATAAAGAATATTGGATCAGATCATCATAAGAAGACAAATTCAACCATAAGTGGTATGGGAGGAAGTTCTGAAATTTATAAACCTCTCTCAAAATAATTTGTATAAGAAATACAGATTTAAAAACCTAGAACAAGGCATCCAGATTTGAAAATCTTTGACCTTCCCTGTCTTCCTACTTTCCCCTTTCCCTCCTCCCCCTTACCATAGTCACATACACTGGCTGGATTTTATTGTAAACTTTGAAAAGAAAAAAAAAAAAGAGCGTTCCACACATCTGCAAGCATTTTTTATTTGTTTGTTGGCCCAAGCTGACAGCTTTTTTTGTGTTTCCTAGTTTATCAGAAGTCTATCAAAATATTTTGAAGAAAAGGAGCCAGGACACTTTCCCTAGATTTTAGTGCCCTCCAATATTTAAATTCATTCTTCTGTTTTTGTTTGTTTCTTTGTTTGTTGTTTCCCTTATTCATTGCTTTTCTCATTTCTTGAAGATAATATCTGTATTTCAGGAAAAGGAGATGTTTGTTTCATGACAACAAACTGTCTCAGTCTCCTCCTTTTCCGGGTTTAACTTTTTGAGCTTTATTCAAAATTCCTATCATTGGGTTCAATTTTGAAAGGGAGGACTTTGATTGAAAGTTCTCAGCCACCCACACTGGACCTGAAAGGCCACTAGAAATAGCCCTTGTCTGCTTCATTTCTCAGGAACCAGAATAGACACATTCCCTCTGGTCTGCCCTAAGATATGGTTTTGGCTCAGTAAGCAAATGTCAGCTGCAGAAGCAGCTGGCTGCAGAGCAGTTTTCGTGGAAACTGGGAGCCTGTGTCCTCTGAAAAAAAAAATAATACTATTTCAATAATTTATTCTTTTTAATTTATTTTGAATGATCTTTGAAATGGGCAAGAATGACAGGAAAGTCAAATCGTTATCGGTCTTTTGATTTCAGTTTGACTATTGACAATATTACTGTGAATACAAATAATTATAAATTTATACTGAAACATTGTATGTTAGATATTGGTAAGACGTTTGTACTAAAATGCAACAAGATAAAAGCAAAAGCATTATAGGTCTCTGGCTATTATCACAGCTCCCAAAGCTACATACTGACATCAGGAGTCTGACTTTCACACACAAGCAAGACAAGCCTTAGTCCTCACAGGTAAATAATGCCTGAAGATGTCACCTACCTTAATGGCTTTATCAATGTCTGAGTTTTCAAGCAGACTGCAACACTAGAGGTGGGAATTCAGCCAGTCCTCTTAAAGGGATGAAATCCTGCCTGGGAATGGGTGGTAGTGAAGATGTTCCAGTGCCAGCATCCCAGGTGGACTCCCCACAGGAATTAGCAGCATAGCCTGTCACCCGCTGCTGTGGAGATGAGTTCTCTGAGACAGACTTCACCCTGTACCAAGATAAAGAGCAGATGACTGAAACACAATGTTTTCCAAAGAGAAGATAGCTTTTGAGTGGATAACTTTGCAATTTACATACAAAGCTGAGGTAAGGCACAAATGTGACTCCATCACGGATTGCCAAAGCCTCAAACTATCTTAACCTATCTAGAGCTTTGAACAAAAACAAAACTCTTTAAACTTCTTGAAAGTACCAATACTCCACTAATCAAAATAATTAGCATCTTTAACGCTCCAATATTCCTCTGTCCTTACCAATCCTGCAGATAAACAATCAGGTTTACTCAACCATGATTGTACTCCCCATGCCTTTATAGATCTATGTTCCTGATTCCACCTTTCTTTGTTAAGTGAAATATTTGCTTTCCAATATTCCACTCACGTTGAAAAAGCTGCGGTGAAATTAAAGCTAAAATTATGAGTAATGAAATGCATGAGATTGTACTAATTGCTGCAGTCACCTCCTCGACTGATCTGTCTGGTGTCATTGGTTTCCTGTGTTCTACATCTCAGGTTGTGTGGTGGGTTTTCCCATCCTATCTCACACCAATCCAGCCCTTTCCAACAACATATTTTGCTTTGGTTTTGAGTCCTACAACTTCTCAAGACCAGTTTACCTCTCCCTCCTCCCCGCAGCTGCTAGCCAGGGGGATACCCAAACTGCCCCACTATGGATTTGTGCTGCTTTCTCCTGGGGGTGGCACAAACAAATGAACAGAGGGCTCTCTCAAAGGATCCTTGTCCTTTGTGCAGGTTTCCTAACTTTAAACCAGGGATGAAAAACAAAACAAAACAAAACAAAGCAAATGTGACCCTTGCAATTGAGATCCTTTATTGGCACAAGCAGTCCTATTAAAGTTGAACAGGAACAGACATCATAATAATTAAAGTGGGCATGAGTTGGCTTTGAATTGCAGGAACTCTGGGTGACCACATTTCACTTTCCCTGTCATTGAGTAAGATAGAATTTCCTCCTTCTCATCAAATGGCAACTCTTTTATTTATGGATTACGTTGATGTTTTGCAAGGAGGTAAAGTTACTGATAAAGTTTTCCTGAAAAAAACACACTGCATTTTGTTTCAGCTCCACAGATGACTGCAGTTGATCACATATGTTTCCCAGCAGCCATCAGTGTATCCAATTAGAAAGATCACAAAATATTTTAGAGGTCTTAGAATCGTTTGGTCAGCCAAAAGATTTGGGCTTTGAAAAAAGAACAAGAAAGCAAATATGGTATGTGCTATTTATCATGACAACCATGAATGGTAAAACATTCTCTTAAAACTAGTTGTACAGATGTAATCCTTAGCATTAAATAAAAATATGTGTGAAAAGCAGGAGATTTCTTTTTCTTTTTTTTTTACTATTATCTTATACATATAATAAATCACTGAATTGCAATCCTCACTATATCATTGAACTGATAGGAAAGGACTGGGTTTTCACGGTCAGAAACCATTTCAAAAAGGAAAAATAATCAAACTCTGCTTGTCCTTGAAAGAAAACATGACATCTTTAGTTAACAACTTCCATTACTTAAAAGGATGGAAATATTATATAAATGTAGCTTTTAGTTTTGACAAGTTCTTTTTAATTTTAATCTTCAGCTCTAATATGACAAGAGCGCTGTGTAGAAGAATCTTCAAAATAAAAATTGTTATTTGGATACTTCTATTTCCAGAATTAAAATCTATTTTAAATGCTTTCATTCTAGAACGTTAATGACAGCAAGGAAAACAAATTTGCTGCAGAAACAGAGGGGACAAGATGTCCAAGTAAGTTATCAATTCTTGGTTCAAAGTCTGAAAATGGCTTTGTAGCATCTTTATTTCTCATGCAATTAATTTCTTGATTTTCCACTAATGCTTATGTTTATGATGTCTTCCCAGTACTCTGTAAATAACTTCACAGGACCTGATAGTTGAAACCATTGGGCCTCCAATCCATACAAACAGACCAATTAGCTGAGATTGAGTTGTTATCGGATTTATGTGTTTTAGAAATAAATAACTAAAAAAAAAAAAAAAAAAAAAAAAAAAAAAAAAAAGCAAAAGAAAGCAACTGAGAATTAAGGACAGGAAAAAAAAACAAAAACAAAAACACAAAACCAGAAGAAACACTGGAAAAAAATGATATTGAGGAAAGTTAAGAAAATAGACTTCTGAGCTAAGTATTGCTTGTGAAAAGGCCTTTGAACTGTATATAAATATTCTTCCTTGATGCTTGATGCCTTCAAGAATCAAAGCTCTGCATATGTATGTGAGGCAATCAGGACTATATGAAAAATTCCTCTTCATTGAAAAAAATGGTAAAACCTATAATTCTATAGCTAATCAATCAATTTTAAAAAGGAAAAAGTCAGTCTTCAATTTTATTACATGCCTTTCGGTTGCAACTTTGACCACTCAGGTCTCCTGAGTATCACGTTAGCAGTATTAGAGACATCCGACATTAGAGACCCCATGTAAAATCTTCTAAGCAACTAGAGTCCTCCCTCAGACTTTCAAACTTTCTGGACTTTAAAACTTCCCTTGTGGATATGATTTATACTCCCGCAGCACCCAAGCACTTAAGCTAAGACTGAGGCCCCTTGAACTGACCGCTTGACCAGCCATCCTCTGAAAAAAACAGCCCATTCCTGTTGCTGGATGTCATCTATCCTTGGATAGCTGACTGGAATGGGTCACTGTTATATTTTGCCTTAAGCACTGCGACAGAGCATCCCTCTTGCAGAAGCTGAGCCCACGCTCTGGGACCGCCAACCCAATGCCCTAAGCATTTTGCTAGCAACGTGTTGTGCTGCAGCTCTCCTGCCAGAGGGCTTGACCTTCCACTAGCGGTGTTAGGACAGAGCTGTTATACCCCTCAGGACAAAAGGAGTTCTGCAGGACCTTGTTAGACGTTGAACATAAATAGGTATATTGTAGCCTTGCATGCAGTCCATTTTACTTGTGCAAGTATGTTTTTTGTTAAACACATAAAACACAGAGTGGGTTTTAATGGTTGATCAGATCCCGTTAAAGCAAATTGCATGTTTAAATACAAAGGATGAAAGGGCCTCTATTATTCTACAAATTTCTAGCAGCATTGCACCTTAAAAGGAATTTTATAGTAAATTTGTAGCTTTGCAACCAGCTCATGAACCAGAGGGCATAAAAAGGACATGTGTTCCAAGAGCAAATGCATTCCATATTTCAGAAATAATAAGTTCTTGCTTGAACCCAAATCCCATCGAGGCAAGTAAAGGCTTTGGCATCCATGGGAAGTAGGACTTCAGCAGAACATTATTTCATTGAGGCTGCTAACCTTGTCTACGTTATAGACAATCAAGACACAACTATAAAGCCCCTGCTGTATACCAGAATGCCATAGAACCCTCCTTGCCCTACACTTTAATTGCAGTCCATACAAACATTCAAGAATAAAGATCTACATAAATGGAAACACTGACCCTGCTCATCAGGCTCATCAGAAGTGAAAAGATCGAAACACCCTAATAGCAAAGTCTAGCAATAAGATTTATGAAGGAAGTATCATGTATCTGTAGCTGATGGTGTCTTTGAGTACAAAAATTTATGCAAGTAAACCTTGACATAGCCAGGAAGAAACTTTTCATGTTGTCCTAGAATTAGTCTCTTTCTGCTAAATGAAGGCTGTAGGATTAGAAGGTGCAAAATACACATACCTCACATAGCCTTCACCTACAGTCATGCCTGAGCCTCTATCCTGTGTATTTAGACAGATGTCTGTAAACTTGTAAAAATGCTGTTGTGTGTTTTAGGTTGAACTGTGTTTAAACCAGTGAAATACCATGCACGCTGCAGCCTACAGCTGTTAGGAATGCAGATGCCACTTAACCAGAAAAAGAGCAGGCAAATACTTAAAAATGGAAAAAAAATCTAGAAACTGAAGGCTCTAGTCTTCTTCAGATGAATCTTGCTGGAGCTAATAGCTGGGATTTAAGGTGCTATCACTACCAGCTAGCTGCTCCAGCTCTGTGCTAGAGGGTTTCACCATCATGTCCCTTTAGCTGCCATCAATTTTGTTTTAAAACACTGCACCATAAGCCACAGTAACAGAGGATCTGACATAGTCTTGCTCCTTGTGCCTTTTTGTAGGCATTAGTAACCACTTCTGCTGCCCCAGCAAGGTTCAGCAGAGGTTGTCAGCTGGAGCCCTGAACGCTCTGCTAAGGCAAAGGCAGTGAAAGTGAGAGTACGTGACTATTTGCTGCCTTTGATGAGGTAACCGAAGTCTTTGGATTTTTCAGTGCAGAATGGAAAATCTGGCTTCTGTACTATACATTTTTGATTTCTGGCTATATCTTTCTTCCGTATTAACAGTTTACTCGTTCATTGGAAGTTCCTAGTCCTCAAAGAAGAGATTCACAGTGCTAATTAGAAGGAAAAAAAATAAGGAAAGAATGAAAATAAATCAGAATAGTGAAAAAGTCAGCTTTTTAAGGTGCAAAATTCTGGTCTCCCACAAGAAAAGTCAGACTGGATTGAAGTTGGTGAAGGTCATCAGCATCTTGACCAATACTGAGCCATACATAATGAGTCATAGAACACATCCTACAAATTCAGGTAGCAACAAATGTTGTAGAGCAGTTTAATGGGTTGTCTGCACCACCTCAGTACTTGGTAAACCTGAGTACCAAAGTAATTCTTCTCTGTTCTCATTTATGTAAATCCTTGCATGCAATCAGCTCTGAAGCATTCGAGCTCTTCCAGATAGTGCACCAGGCAGAGATGCACTAATACTTGCCGCATCTTTTCCTCTGCCAAACATGAAATGTATGAGGAATGGGCCTTGAAGGGCCAATCGAGCAGAGGATGGTGAGCTCTGTGACAGTCAGAACTCCCCAGAGAACTTCATGTCTGAGTCACGCCCTCAAAATTGTTGTCTCTTGCATAGATATACTTTATCTATTTAGGAAAATCCTGTTGTGTCAGAAAAGTAAAGCTATTTAGGTATTGAGTTTTTTGT